ATAGGGGCATTCACTATAATCATCATTTATTTTCAACCATTAGGCCACGACTTCCCACAACTTATATTATTTTATATTATTATATTATATTATATTACACTTTTTGAAGTTTTAGGATAACCATAACTAACATTATTGCAACAGATAATTCGTTTGAAATATTTACACATCACAAAACTTTGATACACATTTCTTGCTACCAAATAATATAAATTTTACTGTATATGGAATATTGTAGGAATAAAACCTATTATGGCTCATACAGAAGTCTTGAGAGTGGACTCAACTTAGGTTTATTTATTACCTCTGAAGACTACACATGCACACCCCATATGACCAGATCTGTCAGAGCATGTTAAGTATCTTGCAGTATCTGTCACATGCAACATATGTTCATAAATTCATGTTGAGTGTTTGTTGAAGTAGCAATGTGTGCATAAGAAATGCTATGTAAATGTTTTGTTAGCTCGTATTCCATTGCCTTGTTGAACAGGATTGCGGTATCCTGGGAGAGGGGGATTTTTGTGCCTTCTCTCTCTCTCTCCTTTGGCTCTCTCCACCCTTTTCCTGTGACAGTGAGGATTTGAGGCAGAGTGCTTGCCTAAATAATTTACAAGTTGATTAATGGCCTCACAGGGGTATAATTAGGCGATGGAGAGCTGGTGGCTAGTGTAACCAGTACAGTGCTTCTGGGATTTGAGAAGCCGGATTATTAAGCAAACCAAAAAATAGTCTTAGGAGAAGTGAAGAAGGAGAGGAAAGAAAGAAAGAAGAGGAAGCCTCTCCAGGCTACCTGATGTTTGAAGCAGGGCTGTAGAGATAGGCAAGAGGCTGTGTGCGTCTGATGTGGAAATTGGACAGTTTGAAACCGTCGACTTTAATTTTTCACCAGCTGCGGGGACCCCCCTGGGTGCCAGCTTGCTTTCTTTAAAGAATGCTGTTCTATTTTCTCTTCACCCTCATTATTTGTTTGTCCTCCGCCGCTCTCGTTAATTTTCCCGCAGTATTACGAGCCCCACCCTTCTCTACTGTGCTTTCCGTCGGTTTTAAGAGGTGCCATCATCCCCTTAAACAGTTCGCTTATGTTGCCTGTCAGACAGCCATTGACTGCTTTTGTACTCTGAGAGGGACCCATGAAATATCTTCAAAAGACAAAATGTGCACACATGAATTTAAATAACACCGTGTCTGCTAATTATTTATCACCTCACATCTGAATAAACCGCCTTGATTTGATACAGATACAAACAAAAGGCACGTCCTTGACAGTACCGCTTGATGATGAGATCACTGATGCTTAGCATGGAGATGATGCTGTTACAGTTTTCCTCAGACCATCTCCTTAATTTAATCCTCTTAATGGTGCACCCCAGCTCTCTAGATGCCCTGCACCTCGGTTTAAGTGAAACATTAATTTAGCTTTCTGTCCGCTTGTGCCAGTGTGTTTTCGAATCAGCTTCTATTAACTGTTTATTTAGTACTTCAAACCCTTAAAACTGCATCCTATATTTGCATCTTTCGTATTTCAAAAACTTCTTCCAGTACCTGGAAGGAAGTAAACAAATGAAAGGCCTTTGTCACATCCGTTAGATCTATAACACTGTGATCTGATGTCCTATAGGGAGGAACGTATACAGTATTTCAAACAAATGCTAAGCAGGTGTGTTTGTGTGTGCATCTCATGGGGTAAACCCCCTCTGTACACCATGTTTACAGTATATAGGACGAGTGTCATTCAAAGGACACAGCAAGTTGATTCTCAGGAGTCTAAACCTCAACATTTTTGAGGTTTTCGAAGTTTGCCTTAATGTGATTTCTCTTCTTCTACTCTTTGTATTGTTGTACTTCTGTCATGTAATTAGGAAGAAGTTATAAATAGGCGATAACTGTATCATATTATCGCTATGTTTGTGGTTTAATCTGTACAGTGCCATCCAGTACAGTCCTGCGGATCCTTACTGAGAGACTGAGCAGGATGGACTGTACCACACGAGGCTGGGTGCTCCATGGCTTTCCTCAAGATGTGGAGCAGGCAGAAGAACTCCAAGAGTCTAATTTCATACCAAACAGGTATATTAGTCAATATAAACCGATTTAGATGGCTGTAAATGTTGAAACTCAGCATGTTAACTGCCATTCCATAACTGTGGAAGGCATATGACTGTACAGGGATCTAAACTATTATCACAGTGATTTGTACCAATGGTTCTCAGTTTGTTTCCCATTCCCTTCTCCCTTTGAAACTAGAAAAAAAAACATCTACACCACCACCACCACCACCATAATCTGGTTGACTATTAGTATTTTTGACATTACGGGATAGTTTACCCAGTTCTGTGATTTGTGTGATAATTTACTAACCCTCATGTTGTTCCAAAAGAAGATATTTTGAAAAAATATAATTTTTGACACATTAATTATACATGTGGGAATGTTTGTTTTTGAAATCTCTTATGCTGCATTTATTATACAGCAAAAATAGTCCGAAATCACGTTCCGCTTGGGCCCCCTGGACCCACGCAATTGCATGGTTTGCGTGGTGCCTAAACACGCTACTGAAAATAGTAACATTGTGAAATATTATTACAATTTAAAGTAACTTTTTATTTTTATATATTTTAACATGTAATTTATTCCTGTTACGGCAAAACTGAATTTGCAACAGCCATTACTCTCCAGTCTTTAGATTAACACTGTTGAAAACAGTTTTAATATTTTTTGTGGAAACCAAGACACATTTTTTTGACATATTGAGGATACTTTGATGAAAATTATAAATTTTTTGTAACAATATAAAAATTATTACTGTGACACTTTAGATCAATTTAATGCATCCTTGCTGAATAAACGTATTAAAAAAAAAGAATTTACTGACATCAGTGAATGTTACAATGGGCAAGGAACTATGCAGCTAGCAAGCATGGTGCATTTGCATGTAAGGAAGTGCACAATATATGAGAGCTGGGGGTTCGCCACACATTGAGAACCCCTGGTTTACATTAAATTCTGTCCTCTATCGATTTCAGCCTATGGATTATCTATCCACTGGATTCCCATTCATTTACCGGCTGTAGGACCTTCACAGTGACAGACATGAAAGATGTAAACAGAGATGTAAACATACAGTAGGTGTTTAGATAACAAAAACAAAACAGAAGAGGAGTGTATGAAACTTTCAGGTTATTATTTGTGATTTGCGTCTCTTCGGTTATCCTAAATAGTGAGTGTAACCGCAGGGCTCAGATTGCCCTCTCAGATTACCCTTAACTCTGCTGCCCTGGAGGATCTGATGCCACTTAGATTATACAACCTGTCCTCTGTGTGTGTCCCCTCATCAGAGAGCTCACTTTGAGGTTAGGTCATCAGTGAAAATAACCGTGTCCCTATTCTGTCTCCTTTGACACAGAAGCAAGAGCAGGAGCACAAATCTGTGCAGTAACATTAGAAAAATTCTACATGATCACCGTAGGGCCTCCTTTTCAACCTGTTGCTACTCATCATGATTTCTCATCATATATACTCCATTTTATGTGCTCTCTGGTATTAAGATTTTATCCCAGAGATCAGCAAGCAGCCATGGTGTCTGCTTCCCTCGCCACTTCTGTGTAGCAAGGCCTTATTTCCTCCATTAACAGCCCATGTTGTTTGGGCTAAAAGAATATCTCTTTGGTTTTGAGACTTTAGTCTTTGCAACTTCAGGGATCTTATCTATGCACAATCAGCTTGTAACACTCCAAAGAGAAAGGAAAACTTGAAATCGCATCATATGACCCCTTTAAGATTTTATCCCAGAGATCAGCAAGCAGCCATGGTGTCTGCTTCCCTCGCCGCTTCTGTGTAGCAAGGCCTTATTTCCTCCATTAACAGCCCATGTTGTTTGGGCTAATGGCAGGAGACCTTATTTGCATAGCATTAGTGTAATTGATTCAAAGGCCCGTGGTTAGCCTGGCCCTGAAACAATGGGGAGATAATGTTTCCGATGGGCCGATGATGGCCCGATGGCGGCGCTGTACCTGACAGCTTTATTAATTAACAGCTCTCTAGTTACCAGGCTTTAGTGAGGATGAATAAGTCAGTTCCTCCTGGAGCAGTGCCAGGGCATGGGCATTTAATAGGTGTCACTGGCAGAAGGGAGAGGGGACAGAGTGCAGCAGTGTTGGCATACTGGTTAGATTGGAGGGGTCCCTTTACCCATTTCCTGAAAGGGCTCCATTAACAGAGAGTCATTGCCTGCGATAAGTGCCAAGACGATGTTGTTTGTGTGGCACCAGAGTCTTTAGCTTTTATTGACAAACTCATTTACTTTGTGTTGTTAATGCTATGGTAAAGTGGATTAAAACCATGTTGTTTGGGCTAATGGCAGGAGACCTTATTTGCATAGCATTAGTGTAATTGATTCGAAGGCCCGTGGTTAGCCTGGCCCTGAAACAATGGGGAGATAATGTTTCCGATGGGCCGATGATGGCCCGATGGCGGCGCTGTACCTGACAGCTTTATTAATTAACAGCTCTCTAGTTACCAGGCTTTAGTGAGGATGAATAAGTCAGTTCCTCCTGGAGCAGTGCCAGGGCATGGGCATTTAATAGGTGTCACTGGCAGAAGGGAGAGGGGACAGACTTACAATCAGGGTTAGGTGCTTCTACACCCTTGTTAATCAGCGACCATTTCACACTGTTTTTAGGAATAAATTAGGGGTAGGGTTAGGTTTAGGGGTAGGGATTGGGTTACGTCTATATTTTTGGACAGTTATGTTGATCCAGGATCAACAAAAGATGTTGATCCAGGAACATGTCTTAATTGGCAAAATCACGGCGACCGGTTTCAAGGCCCCACATGGACCACCACAATATTTGAAGGCCCCATGATTTTTTCAAGTCATTTGTGATTTACTGGAAAAGGATTTTTAATTCCCAATTTCTAATGATAAAATATTTTAGATCTTTGCATAACTATAAAAATGTATATTCATTATAAAAGTTATAAGATTTAGTTCATTTACATGACTAAATCTACACTTTTAAAATTAGATTTAAAAGTTGTTGGTTTAGCATAAAACAGCTAAACTTAAAATTGCAGCTGTTTTAGTATATTTTAATGCTTGGTTTGTCTCATTTTCAATAATTTTAAGTCATCTTGAGTCCCCTTTTGGAAGTTTGTTGAGGCCCTCTGGTTGAGAACCACTGGTTTAAGGGATGCTTTCTCAAAAGTAGAATTCTGTCTAAAATCTTAAGACTTTTTAGGTGAATACCCTGGCTGCTCTTTTCCCTTTAATGAATGTGAAAGGACAAAAAGGTACTGTGAAAGTATTATAAAAGTGGTCCTTGCAGCTTGTGGTCTATATTTCAAAATCTCTGAAGCTGTGTAATAGATTTGTGGAACAGAAGGAACAGAAATGTATTATCTTTTGTTAATCTTGACATCTGCCCTGGTTCATGGACAGGCTTCAGTGATTCATACATAAATCAAACTGATCCAGTTCTCAAATTCTCTTTGGTCTGTTTTCTTACATAAAACTATTGTTTGACTTCAAAAGACTTGAAATATAAATCACAAGTCATATAGACCACTTTTATGATACTTTTATGGTGCTTTACTACTTCAGTTTCGCTGGTCTCACTCCCACCCCTCCTACCAGTCTTTAACTACTCTCCAGTTTGGCTAGTCATCAGCCTCTTACAGCCTTGACACGCTTGCAAACAATCAGAGTATTTGGGAGCTTTGAAATATGCATGGCTACCTGTGACAGGTAGATTGCGCGCTCTCTCTCTCTCTCTCTCTCTCTCTCTCTCTCTCTCTGTCTCTTTCCACCTGCACTGCGCTCTTGCTCTCTATTACTTAAATGTTTTTCATGTGTCTGCTCCCCATCAAATCAAGCAACACTTCCTCTGATTGGCTTATCAATTATACAGCAGGGGCAGCATTACAATTTAATCAGTGGTAAACATTGCCGTGGCCACCTGTAAAGAATCTTTCCCTCATTAATTTCTTAATTTGGAGAGATAGAAAGGGAGGCAGAGGGGCTGATGGGAGCGGCAGCGCTCGGAGAGATCGGATGGACCGAGACCTTCTTGGATCACTTCAGCTCAGCAAGTAAACTGAAGAACAAAAGGGTCAAAGGTTACCATCTACTTAATGTATACCGTATACCAGTGGAAGAACAGAAATGCACACACATATACTGATGACAGGATATGCCAAGACTTGTGCGGTTCGTGATCTATTGTAGCAGCTGAGGACTGTCAGGCTCTTGTTATCTGCATTGTTTTAGTAAGTCATTTGTTAGAGGATCTCGAGCTGTCATGTAAGAAACATCTAATGTAAATCAATTCATCTTGTACAGCTCCCCCCACATAAAAAGTGGGGGAATGAGAAGAAAGACGAACACAAGCCCCCACCCTTCCATTCTCCAGCCTCAGACACAACGCACCATCCTTTTGCTCCTCCACATTTATAAATATTTCATGAGGAAGCATAAATATTAATTCTAATAGCTTTGCAGAGTAGTTATTTCTTTTTTAAGACAAATATTCATTAAAAATTGAGAGAAGCCTTTTTCTGAAATAATTAAACCTACACACACACATTATCATGCCTCTTAAACACATCAAATATCTTGCATTTTCAATCCAGACTAATAGTCAGTTAAAGCACCATGTCTCCTTTGTCCATTTCAGAGGGCCCATTGGTTCACAGTGGTACTGAGAGCCATGAACACAAAGACATTTAAATATTTTATCAAAAGCACCAACTTGGATCTCTTTCTCCCATTTTCCTTTCTTTTCTCACCCCTTTTTGTGGAAAAGACCTCATGATGTACAATTCCTATTGGTCTTTATCTATAGCTAAATTGGTGCAGAATTGCATCTCACAACAATCTCAGTCTACGTAAAATGTTTAGCTGGCTAAAAATTATGATGTGGAAGAGGCTGTGAGGTTTCTGTCCTCTATAGGCCTGGCTGAAATCATTTGGAACAAGACTGGGATGTAACCCCCCCCCTCCCCCCCACCTGACCACACCATTTGGCACACTTTGTGTCTGCACAGTGTCAAAGCATAATGACCCCTGGGTAGAGACCCCAACATTCCTCTGTTTGAAGTCCCCTCGTGGCCCAGGAGAGTATCCCTGTTTTCCATTATTTTCTTCATAATTTATTTAGCTCTAATACCAGTGTATTATGATTATTCCTCTCTGAATGCTAGATGGAGTCTTCATATAATGGAATAATGGATTTATAGGATTTTCACTTGACGTTATGATTTTTGCAGGCATTTTGACAATTGTATGTGGGAATTGTAAAGAATTTAAAGTGACGTGTAGCCAAGTATGGTGTCCCATATTTGGAATTTGTGCTCTGCATTTAACCCATCCAAGTGCACACACAGAGCAGTGAGTAGTAAACACACACACCCGGAGCAGTGGGCAGCCTTGCGGCACCCAGGGAGCAGTTGGGGCTTTGGTGCTTTGCTCAAAGGTCTCACCTCAGTCATGGTATTGAAGGTGGAAGAGAGCGCTGTACATTCCTACCTACCTTGCCGGTACCGAGATTCGAACCCTCAACCTTTGGGTTACTAGTCGACTCTCTAACCATTAGGCCACGACTGGCCCTAATGGTTCTAGTTCCTGTTACAATTCTGGTTCCGCAAAAGGTACACAACAGTTCAAAAGTTTTGGGTCAGTAAGATTTTTTCATGTTTTTGAAAGAAGCCTCTTATGCCCACCAAGTCTACATTTATTTGACCAAAAATACAGTAAAAACTGTAATATTGTGAAATATTATTACAATTTGAAACAATTTTCTATTTTAGTATATTTTAAAACTTAATTTATTCCTGTGATGGCAAAGCTGAATTTTCATTCAGCCATTACTCCAGTCTTCAGTGTCACATGATACTTCAGAAATCAAATCATTGATTTGGTGCTTAAGAAACATTTCTTAATATTAGCAATGTTGAAAGCAGTTATACTGAAACTGTGATGCATATTTTTCAAGATTCTTTAATGAACAGAAGGTCAAAAGAGCAGCATTTGTTTAAAATGGAAATCTTTTGTAACATTATAGATGTCTTTACTGACACTTTTGATCAATTTAATGTCTTTGCGGAATAAAAGTATTTTTTGAATTGCACTGTATGTTTACACAGACTTATAATTACTTTTTACAGGGTACCTCTCTTTTGACCATTTTTTGGTAACATTCCATTCATTCATTTTTATAAAATGACACTGACAGAACACATGGTGTGTATCTTTCTACATATATCTGACTGGTCTCACAGTTAGTTAATATATACTTTATATTTTTATTATTATTATTGTACTATGCTGATCACACTCACTTTTTCTCTTTTTAATGGATTTTCTTTAACCCCAGTTCCCAAGCCTAATTGCTTTTGTCTTTCATTGTTTTTAAATTAGCATATGTCTTTGGCATTTAATATCTTTACCAAGCAGCTTTTTTTCTCAGGCGATTTGAGAGGATCACAGGTATCATAACAGACTTCCACATGATATCTTCCTCTCTCCCCTCTAGGGTCTTCTTCCTGGAGATAACTGATGACATTGCTATTGAGAGGGTAACACTTAGGGGTGTGGATCCTGTGACTGGAGAATGGTGAGAAAGAATCAGCTTAGTACATTGTAAATTTGTGTATAAAGAATCCATTCCTTTAGGTTCCACTAAACACATATCTGCATTCTGAATGTCACGTTTGAAATCTGCAGGTATCACGGCATATATAAACCTGTCCCTGGTCCAGAAGTGCAGGCCCGGCTTCGATTTAACCCACGGCATTCAGAGGCACAACTGCTAAAGAGGCTTAAGGAGTACTGGAACCATACAGCGGACCTGCAGGCCTTCTACCTACAGGCAGTATACATCAATGCTGGCCAGGACCCACACACCGTGTTTGAGTCACTGGAGAGTAGGCTTGTGGGCCGACTACCCAAAGTCCTGTCTAACCGAGAAACATCTGAGAGCTAAACACTGTTATAGGGATACTCCACCCAAAAACATGTTCTCTCTTCATTTACTCACCCTCATGCCATCCCAGGTATATGACTTTCTTTGTTCTGTGGAACAGAAGCTGAGATTTTTAGAAAAATAATTCATCTCTGTGAATCTATATAATGCAAGTGAATGGGACCATCAAAGCTGACGCTTCAAAAACCAAACAAAATGAACATGATGGTAATCCATATGACGCCTGTGGATGTCTTCTGAAGTGAAATGATGGGTGTGTGTTAGAAGAATACTGATATTTTCAACTTTTTTACACTATAAACCATCGCTTCTGGCCACTCTAGACAACTGTCAAATGCAGGTTCATGAGTTTACTCTTGATGTAAACTTCAGCATGACATAAGCCCATTGTGAAACTCATGCAAGAGGTGTTGCAGTAGAGGAACACGATTACATCACACTTCATGTGCTAATGTTTAAATCAAGCGTTAACTTATATGTCAGTTGGCTGGAAGCAATGGTTTATAGTTTAATGTTTATATGAAAGTTTAAAATATTAATATTTTTCTCACACACACACCTGTGGTTTAGCTTCAGAAGCCATTGATTCATCCGCTGGTGTTGTATGTGTTTGTTTCGTGTGATTTGCATGAACTTTGATGGTCCCGTCCACTCACATTATATGAACTTACAGAGATGGACTGTCTTTTTTCTAGAAATCACCATTTGTGTTCCACAAAAGAAAGAAAGCCATAAACATCTGGGATGGCATGAAAAAAACCCGGTTCCATTCCATTTTTGGGTGGAGTAAATTTTAGTTTAAATTTTACAATTTCTCCATTGTGTTTTAATTTTCATTTCATCTTGTACATTTCAAAAGTCTGATAGGCAGCTTAATACATTGCTTATAAATTTGACTTTGGTTATCTTTTCTTGGTCATATTTCTAATATTTTAATGAACGCTGCCACAACTCCAAATTCATCATGGGAAAAATTACATTACCCAACCGATGTAGTCATTCTTGCCATCTGACCGTGTGTGAACTCGTGGGAGTGCATGGCACCTGCTAATTCAACGTATGTTTAATTAACATAGCGAGAAAAAGCAGACAACTTATATGTCAGTTGGCTGGAAGCAATGGTTTATAGTTTAATGTTTATATGAAAGTTTAAAATATTAATATTTTTCTCACACACACACCTGTGGTTTAGCTTCAGAAGCCATTGATTCATCCGCTGGTGTTGTATGTGTTTGTTTCGTGTGATTTGCATGAACTTTGATGGTCCCGTCCACTCACATTATATGAACTTACAGAGATGGACTGTCTTTTTTCTAGAAATCACCATTTGTGTTCCACAAAAGAAAGAAAGCCATAAACATCTGGGATGGCATGAAAAAAACCCGGTTCCATTCCATTTTTGGGTGGAGTAAATTTTAGTTTAAATTTTACAATTTCTCCATTGTGTTTTAATTTTCATTTCATGTTGTACATTTCAAAAGTCTGATAGGCAGCTTAATACATTGCTTATAAATTTGACTTTGGTTATCTTTTCTTGGTCATATTTCTAATATTTTAATGAACGCTGCCACAACTCCAAATTCATCATGGGAAAAATTACATTACCCAACCGATGTAGTCATTCTTGCCATCTGACCGTGTGTGAACTCGTGGGAGTGCATGGCACCTGCTAATTCAACGTATGTTTAATTAACATAGCGAGAAAAAGCAGACTGGCCAGACCCTTTGTGGTGGGCAGTATTAGTCCCGCTTCAGTGGCCTCATGCTAAGGAAACCAGTCGATGCTGCTTTGATTATTAAATCCGCTCTCCTTCTCTCTTCCTTTCGTTGAGGTTACTGGATGACTCCCACTGGGGGGTGGAGTTAAGGGGGAGGAGTTAAGTACACTGGTTAGAGGAACATGTTAACAGGCTGGTTTTTAAATTCCCCTCAGATATTGTGCTATGACAGGCAGACTCATCTTCTGTAATCTGACTTAATTACAGAAGATGAGGTCCAGAATATGCATCTCCTCTGAATATGTAAACACGAGGGCCTGTGTATATCCAAAGGGAGAGAGGAGGCTACAAAAATGAAATGCAAAGGAAGTATTCCCTGAGCTCCCTCTGGTTCTGTAGCACACTGAACAAAGACTGATTTTCAACAAAGGTTTTATTTAAAATCTGTACTATGTAGAACAGTGATGGGCAAACTTGGCCCTTCCAGGCCACTTTTCTGCAGAGATTTGGTCCAACCCTGATAAAACTCACCTGCCTGTAGCTTTCTAGTAGTCTTGAAGACAATGATTAGCTGGTTCAGGTGTGTTTGGTTAGTTGGAGTTGGAGCTAAACTCGGAAGGAAAGTGACCTGGAAGGGCCAAGTTTGCCCACCCCTGGTTTAGAGCATAAGAAAAAAATGGTAAAATAACATTTTTGAAAAATTATATTATATTCATATGTTATGCTATGTCCTCTGTAGAGGACACCAGGACTCAGTTTTTCTAAAAA